TTACAATCTTGACATCTATATATTAAAAAGAAATTACACTGATATTTTGATTACAAGTTTAGAAATAAATAGATGGCCTTTGTGTGTAATTAAAACACAAATAATAACATCTACAAAATGTATTTCCATATAATGTTGTACACCTTTTTGTAGCTTGATTAAACTGGTAGAAAGCTAAGTACTTAAGACAAAGTCTATGCACCTTATAACTAACGCATTTGAAGAAAATATATTATCAAATAGGAACTCAAACGAGAAAACAAGGTTTGTGTGCATGCACGAGCGTGGGTACTTATGTGATTGTGAAACAGAGATGTTGAGTGAGATATATATATATATATATATACAATTGGGAGAAAACTATAACTTTAAATATTTCAGCATTCTTGTTTCTCCTGAATGTTAAGATTTTACTATAGTAAGATATCAATTTTTTCTACCTAATCTTCAGCGTATTTTGATAATCAGCATTCAACCTGATTCCGCTAATGTTGTTAAAACTCTCGAAAATTAGTGTTAATAGCAAGTGGTTTAAAAAACTAAAAGTTTAATATTTCATAAGTTGTGAATATGCCTTTGTAGCTTGGTAACTATTTGCTATAAGCTGTGAATATACTTATGTAGCCTGGTAGATATTTGTTATAAACTGTGAATATGCCTTTGTAGCTTGGTAACTATTTGCTATAAGCTGTGAATATACTTATGTAGCCTGGTAGATATTTGTTATAAACTGGGAATATGCCTTTGTAGCTTGGTAACTACTTGGTTTCTAGAAAGTTTCAATACTGAACAAGAACAGTTTGATATTTTGAGGCGAAAGACGTTCACTTAAACTAAAATGATATTTAGTATAAACTAATGTCTAGAACTTGCTAAAGCATGACGTAATTCTAGGCATGAAAACTGATCTGAGCCTGAGATATGAGCTAATGATACTCTGACTATATTTCCGACAAATGTTTACATTTAGAAAAAAAAAAGACATATGGTGGCCTAGCTAGTTCGTCAACCATGTAAATATATACGACAAACGAACAGGAAACAGACATTTGTTATGCACTAAGCCGGGTTCGCTTATTTCACATTGAGACCTTATCGTGAAAATGTGGACGGATCCTGATATTTTAGGATGAATTTAGTTTAAAGTTACAGAATCTGTCGTTAGAGTTGATGGAAAATGTGGGCAAGGAATGTTCTATTTGTAGACTGGTTAGATGAGAGTTAAGTTGGAACATACCGCCCCCTATAATAAGGCCAAATGATAGCTCTATTAAGGTAGGTGCTCTAGCTGAATGCCTATGTCTTCATATTACAAGTATGTCGAAATACGAGAGACCGATTGTGAAATATTTTCAGACTGTACGCGTATGGCTTTTTTCAATGTGTTTTTAATTACCTTTCTGGTTTCCAAATTTAGAAAATTATATTGATTTTAATGAAATAGTTTATTATCAATCATGCATGCCTAGAATATAACTATAAATTAATATGAAATTTTATATTTTGTTCTAGAAAAAAAGTATTTTATTTGAGAACTGGGCCTGATTATTATACGTAACAAATGTAGAGTATCCAATCTGCGTTTCAGTTCTAGAAAAAAAGTATTTTATTTGAGAACTGGGCCTGATTATTATACGTAACAAATGTAGAGTATCCAATCTGCGTTTCAGTTCTAGAAAAAAAGTATTTTATTTGAGAACTGGGCCTGATTATTATACGTAACAAATGTAGAGTATCCAATCTGCGTTTCAGTTCTAGAAAAAAAGTATTTTATTTGAGAACTGGGCCTGATTATTATACGTAACAAATGTAGAGTATCCAATCTGCGTTTCAAAAAAAAAAGTGATTTTGAAAAATAGACTTCATGACTAATAATGATATGATAGTTCGATGTCCCTACAGAGTTATAATTGTCATCGAATTTGGATATCACAAATGCAGACGTTTAACATGGCAAAACAATAAAGCATTATTCAATTCCTACTTAGTGGGCTCATATTTGTATTATAGCCTGAAATAGTTCTACTAAGCCTAATTCTCGGATGGTTTTTCTGGTAATATTACATTAGATATGTAATCTCTATTCATTTGGCTACCTATATTTATTTGTTGTACTTTCGAGGATTAACTAATTTCTGTTCAAGTGTGAAAAATGTACCTAATCGCTATAATATATATGGCCTGGACGAAACAAAATAACATATGCATTTGGGTTAAAATCAAAATAGTCCGAATTCGGTTTGTCAATAGTGCAACACAATCCTCAGTTTTCATTGAAAATGTAGCACTATTCAATGAATAAAGATACATATTCGAATTACTTAAGAGATGTTAAAGCAAGGAAATGACGATAAATTCTATTTTAAAAGTACTTAATAATGATTCGATAGGACCCACATCTGGTGAATTGGCAGGGCAAGGTAGAGGACGGAGACTTACCTATGCTCGGCAAACCAGTATGCACCAACTCTTGCAATGTAGTGCATTGACATATTGAAATATATTATCACCAGCAGTATAAAAATGCTGCATTAAAGGCTGATCCAGATCTCTTAGACTGTTCTAGAAGTAGCAGTTGGTTTCTCTATATAAACCGAGAAAGATAGGTCACTTTCTAACCAACCTTTCTTTTCCCCGAGAGAAGCTGAAGCGTTTTCAAATGTTCTTCGGTGCAGTGAATATTTTATGAATAAATAACCGTTTTATCTTTTTAATCTAGAAGAATGAGCTCGCCTTATTTCTCTGACAGTGGTCGCCAGCATCCAGTATAGAACCCTGTGCATGTTTTAATATTGTCTTCAATTCTGTTTCATAATACCTCTGAATTAGCGGCAATTTCAGTCACTATTAAAAATCTTGTTACCACTGCTGATTTTGAGCTTCTCATCACCTTAATAACTGATGGTATTGACACTTCAACCTCCAGCAAGCTGTGGAGTTTGGTAACATGCTAAGAGCTTCGTTGAAAGTGAGGTGTTGGGAACCGAAGTACAGCAAGAATTGTTAGATAAACTTACTCCCAGACATCACTGAATCATGTTAAATATATACACACATATACTCACTGGAATGGATTTAACACCTACTACTTTAAATTTGAAACTGTTTCAAATTCTTTGTCCATACCTGTAAGTATGTGTGAGAGGGATATCACTGTATGTTAATCACTAAGAGTTTTATGTTTCTTTCTTCTGATATTATAGTTATTCGGAAGAGGAAGCAGACATTTTCAATAGCTATGTTTGGAACAAAGCATAACATTGAGATCAAAAACAAACGACAATGACCTCATTACACTGATTGTTAATGACAAAGACCTCATTACACTGATTGTCAATTCGCTGTTTTGTATATCTTACAGCCACTTAGGGAAGAATTTACTTGTAGTGGATTTAAATCATTTAGAAAAACCACACAAGGTGCAGGTTAATTACACAATTAAAGACTGTATAGCACGATAAAAACGTGTGTTTTAATTTGCTATAAAAGAACATAAATATTTAATGAAAATAGCTGTTTTGTGTTTATTTGAATAATAAAATCTCTACGAGCATGAAACATAAAAGGAAAATCTAAATTCGTAATTTTGTTCAAGTATTTATTTTCAAATTTTTATGTAGCTTTGGATTGCTAGTGATGTGCCTTACTATTTCGAACCTATGATTTCCCTACACTGGTAGAAAAATTGTCTGAGTTTTAAATACTTTTATGGATTACGGGTCTGGATTTCTGGTGGTATGCGGAGCTTTCTTGTTAAATATTTATGGTTATATGAGCAGTGTGATGCCTCATTTCCGTCAGCGTTTATAATCACACTTTATAAAATAAAAATTCTTAAAACAAACGGAAATAGAAATCGCCGTGGTACACTCGGTACAAGAATGTTTCGGTTCCAGTTTGAAAGTTTTACGCTTAACGTTCAGGTTTGACAAGGGGAACAAGAATAAGTGTGTCAAATTAGGAAACGGCGAATGGTAGTTCTTAAGATACATCTGTTTTCTTATTTCCTTGTGTTCAAATATGTCACAAAATTATTATGGTACTGCTAAGGTAGCAGAAATAATACAACGTACGTGCTACGATATCAGCAATGTTAGTGATACACCATAGGTGTTAAGATATTAGTGATGTAACATACGTGCTAACATGTTAGTGATGCACTGTAAGTACGATATTAGTGATGTAACATAATGGTACTAAGATATTAATGATGCAGCATACATGTTCAAGTATTATAGATGCAACATTTTACTAAGATGTTAGCAATATACCACAAATAGTAAAATGTTAATAAAGTACCATACATTGTACGAGTTTACAAAGAATGCTGTGGTAATATTACATTATTAAACTATTAGTAAAATATACACGTTACCATGCTCATTTCTATGTTAGTAATAAAACATGCGTGCAAAGATTCGAAGCAAATTTTCTCAAATTAACAAATTCCGTATTAAAACTCCTGTAGATAAATCGTTAAGTAGAAGCCACAACAATAATACATCACATCAGTTTAATGCAAAGAAGCATACATTAATTTCATTATATTATAAGTTATTAGGGAGAATAGAATTCTTTAAAGAAAACTTAGTTCCAAAAATTCATTACAAATCGATTTATGTTATTTCTCTTTAACTTGGGTGAGAGTGTTTTAGAGATTAGCAAGTTAAAATCCTTAGATGTTTTTATATCTTTCAATATTGAATTTATATGTTTTTGTTTGTCCAGTTAATGTAGAGTTGAATGTTGTTTTTTTTAATAAAATCTCCATTGAAGGTTTCTTGACAGTTAAACATTAATATTTTTCTAGCAGCATAACCATTTACTAACTAATTGTAACATTCTAAAAACGCTATACATGACACTACAATCAGTATATTTTATTTAGCTATACATGACACTACAATCAGTATATTTTATTTTACTATACATGACACTACAATCAGTATATTTTATTTTACTATACATGACACTACAATCAGTATATTTTATTTTCTTACCTGCTGCTAAAGTATTGACGTCAGGATCAAACTGCTTTCTGATCTGGTACAGAAATATACCGTATGAAAAAAGTAATCCAATACTAAGTGCTTGGATTACTATGGCGCACCCGCATACCACCCAACCCCACCCGCCTTCCGGATAGTAGTGTTGGCGAATAGTAACCGCTTTGGGATCATCAGGGGACAGGTAAAGGTTAAGCCCGGGGATTTGACCATTGCCTTCAGGGACGTCATCTTGTTCCCATAGGTCTGCTGCATGGGTTGCAAGCCCGAGATAACTAACGGACTGCCGGCTGCTCTGCTTGTTTGGGAGACGGCCGGAGCACCCCATCACACAGGCAACACTAGGTGCTCGATTGAGGCCGCTACTTGTAAAGTAGGGACTTCTGGGATCCATAGAGGCAACAGATTTTGAACGAAATTTCCGATTTTCCATTCGAGCTTTCACGTTGCCTTGTTTCTGTTCTTCGTCCATATATATATAGCTTTATAGTCCTGCTGGGGAATATTTCTCTGTCCTAGGTTTGACTAAGTCTGATTATCAAAGTCAGTCGTCTTCATCATTCAGATTGAAAGTAGCACTAAGCTCTGGCGCATCCTTCGCTGCGTGGCCCGACAGTAATCAAGTTCTACCACTCTTTGCATCTGCTTTTAAACGGAACGCAAAATCCCTGGGGGCGCTACGACGCCCTACTCCCTATTCTTTGAAAAACAGCAGAGCTTAGGTAAAAATATCCCACTGATCAAGTACCGTTTGAATATTTTATCTAAAGAAAACCTGAAAATATACATTTTTTCTAATCACGTTAAAATGCAAAATAATTTATTGAGAATACAACAATAAAATGTGCGTAAAAATATAATAAAGTTTGCATTAAAACAGGATATCCGGGTCATAAATATGTTATAATAGATATGTCTATGTGGTATTATGATGTACATGATTCAATAAAATATATACTCGCGTAGATCAATATCTATATCACTTATTTAAAACTAACAACGGGCCCGGCATGGCCAGGTGGATAAGGCGCTCGACTCACAATCTGAGGGTCGCGCGTTCGAATCCCCGTTCCACCAAACATGTTAGCCCTTTCAGCCGTGGGGGCGTTATAATATGACGGTCAATCCCACTATTCGTTGGTAAAAGAGTAGCCCAAGAGTTGGCGGTGGGTGGTGATAACTAGCTGCCTTCCCTCTAGTCCTACACTGCTAAATTAGGGACGGCTAGCGCAGATAGCTCTCGTGTAGCTTTGCGCGAAATTCAAAAACTAACAAACTTATATGTTGTATTATATATGATGAGAATGTTTATATAGTCTCGAACATTCCTAAGAAAACTTCGTTTAGCTGTGAAATCGTTATGCCTCATTTCATTTGTTGACACAAACGATGTATGATATCAAAAGTATGTTTCCGCTGCTATTATTATACAACCAAATCTTTTTAGTGAATCCTCTGTTTCAAGGAATATATATATCTATATAAAAAAATCGGTTTAATAGTTTGGTCAAATGTACTGGGTCACACTTTGTTTCTCGTCACTCACGAAATGTTCTCTTCACGTCGAATGAACCTAACAATAAATATTGCCAACACGTCGTTTGTTACTGCACGTGTCATTTAGTCCCGAATACGCTACAGTTAACTAAATAACACATTTGTGACATGAAATTATTATAATTCTAATGTTTCATTCTGAGGGTTTCCACCTGCTTCTTGGTGAAGTTGTTGGTTGCATGGTGACTTGTACAACTATCTTACGCTGAGTGTGCTGGCCCAACTGTTTCATTGTGAGAACCAGGATCAACACGCCCGATTATTTCAACCTCTTCAACTTCTTCATTGGAGTTATTACGACTCTCTCTTGGTTAGAGTTACGATTAAACTTCTCCAACAGTTTTATAAATAGTCTAGTTTATGTTGAGATTAGTCTTGCTAAAGATTCTGGGAAAAATGTTTCATGGCAAAGCCTGTGGTATAAACTAGAATATCGTCCCCTGAATGAAGTCCATTCAAACAATACATCCAACAGTTCAAATTGTGGTATAGTGTGAAGTTTATGATCAAGACTGGATTACCAAATAAAACAGAGAATGTTGATTCCATCATTTCATGAAGAAACTCTTAGTTCAAGTTCCTGATAAAACATTCCATGTTAATGACGCAAGTAGAATTGTTTCAAGGTACAGATGTTGTTCAAGTGCTTCTTTGCTTGGATTTTCAACACATCATTTTCATTGTGACAATTTTGGGACAATTATTTCATTGTCTAATCTAAGTGTTTCATGGTTAGGATACTAGTGGAAGTGTTTAATTTTCTATGCTTAACTAGAATAATAACAATCCTAACTTTTGATATTAAACATGTTCATTCATTTGTTTTTATACTGATAATTCATGTCCAAGTATTTATAGTAAAGATTTTCAGCCCAATATTTTCCGATGTGACAAATTTGATCCAAATATTTCATTGTAAGGATTTTAATCTACGTATTTCATTATGAGGATTTTGCTCTAAATGTTTCACGGTGATGATTTTTGTAAAATCTGTTAAAATGTTGCATTGTGGGAACTTTATTTAATTGGCTCTTGGTGTAGAATCTGGTTCAAATATGGTGAGAAATTTGATTGAACTATTTCAGAATGCTTTAATATAGATAGTGACTAGTTAAGTTTATGTAAAAATTCCCGCTTAAGTATTTTATAATGATAATTTTGAACCAAAGTTTCATAATGAACTTTCTAATTTGCATATTAAAGTTTTTGTAATTACGTTTACAGCTTTCATGAATAAATCTATCATATTCTTAAATTTAAAGTACAAGAACAGCTCATTACGTTATATAGAAGAACTAATACCGAATGATAACTAAAGATTAGTGTTACACTGTTCCTCGAAGTAGTAATTTAAGCAATTCATAGAAAGGAAAATTCTCAGAAATATACTAAATAAACGAATGATCAACGTATTTCAAAAATGAATATAAGATGTGACAGATTCAGGGCATTCTCAATAAAATATATTTAGGGTGAACTAATTACTTTGATACTAAAATAGCCATTGTTCTTTTACTGTAATAGCCAAAACTTAATAGTAACTAGGAACACAGTGGTCTAGTTTTGATTTCAAAAAATCTATAGAAACACAGGAGAAAAACCACAAAGAAATACTCAAATACGTTCTTTCCTCTATGTGAATGTAATAGAAACTTTAATCAGTACTTGTAATCGACAAAAAAAGATCGCTATTAGATTTTATATTAAGATTCTGAGGCATAAGTGTTATTTTAATTCAATTTTAATCACCCGGAAAAAGCAACGTATAGTTTATTCCTAGCACTAAAGTGCCCAATACGCGATAAACCTTGTAATAGCTGCCTAATACGTGACACAAGTTTATCTGACTAATCGGTCAAATACACGAAATTTGATGTAGTCGTTCCTGTTTTCATAATCAAGATTTAGCAACATGGGAATCAAACACACAAGTTAACGTTTGCACAGTTTTAGTGTTTGGTTTACCTTAACGTAAAGTAGCAAGGGGGCAAGAAAATCTGAGATAAATTAAATCTAGTATCGTAAATATAGATTTTCAAGGGGGACAAGAAATACTGAGATAAATTAAGTGTAGTATCATAAATACAGACTTAGAGCTGTGTCTATTTTATGACAATTTTTATCTCACCTAAATCACCATCACAAATCTTAGTTTATTTGTAATTAATTCCTCACACTCATAATTATAATTATGTTCAGTTAAGCTATTGTTTCATTTATGAACAAACTGATTACACAGAGTAATTTTTTTTCCACACAAAGTATGGGGTAATTTTTCGTTCAAGGAAGTTCGGTCCTAGCAGAATACAATTTTAATGTTAACAGCATTTACTCGTTAATTCATCTTTACTTACTAAACAAGAATTTCAAGGATAAAGGGAATGAGAAAACATATACATATATATATATCTAATTTCATCTCGCAGTAGATATCAATCAGAAATTGTGTTATTGAAAAAAAATTTATTAGTTAAAAAACTTTGATTTCCAGCACCGTAATCAATCTAATAATCTTTAACTGAATATAAATATATTTAAAAAAACTATTTTAAAGGCCTTTTATCTGTATTTGAATGATCTTCTGTAATACTCTGAAAAACAATAACTTTGTTTGAAATGAAATTGTTTTAAGAAAAGCATATTCGTCTGTTTCTCTTAATACGTATATATATATTTTTTTTGTCTTTTTAATTACTCAAAATTAAAGAATGTGACTTTTATACACACAGAGTTTGAACATCATAGTTAAATACCGTACTGTACAATGATTAATTAATTTAGCTGAATAACTTCAAGTATAGATTCAAAAAGTGTCTTCTTTCAAAGATCATCACTGATATTTGTGGCTATTTTCTTAGGTTTGGTAAACCCCCAGTTACAAATAAAGAGTTTTGTCTAGAGTTAAATAGAATGAAAAAGGATCCTCTCTCTTTCTTCCATAATTATATAAAAGGTCTGACAACCTCATTTATCAAGAGTTGGAATTTTTTCCGATCCTTTTGTAAATGGAGAAGTACTTACTTCCTTTGAAAGACGAAGTCTTTCCGAGGTCGATTGAGTGGAAATGTTTAAGTTGAAGTGTTCTAGCTCGCTATTTTCTTCGTCACGCTAAGAAAGTCGTTAATTGCTAACCAGCTTAAGTTTAGCAAAAATGCATGTAATCAAGAGTTACATAAATTTACTAAACCTAAATAAATAATATATTTTCTAAAGTACTTTATCAATCTACCTATGAAATAGATAGAGAAAATATTTTGAAATAGTTAAAGCAGCAAGAAATTGACAATATTTACTACAGTAAAAAAAAAACAATAATATTCTACTAACTAAACATATTTAGGATACTGGCCAGAAGTCACGATATTAGTACCAACTAAATAGTGAACTAGAACACGTGTTTTCAACCACAAGTTATATCCTCTTTTGCTGACAGACGAAGGAAATAAATCTCGCAAAACTTTCAGGTTTATGGGTTAGGATCATAAAATAATTAAAGATCTATTTGATATTTTTACTAACTATTCAAAACAGTTTTAGATCAAGATTATTCTATCTTAGCATGTAGGAGAAAACGTAGAGCCACAGGACGTAAAAGCCAGGTTCTATAAAGCAACTTAAAAGAACTGATTTGCGTAGCAAACTAGCAGTGGGAAACTAACTAATGATGATGGTACAAGGTAAGATTATCCCTTGTTTATTTTATTATTACAGAGTTTATACAAGCTGTCAGCTTTTGTATGTACTTTAAAGACAAATCTAGCGCTTGCCTTAAGTAAAATTTTATTTATTTTGGCTCTTTTCCACCTGATGTTTATATTTTCCTAACAAGTAAATATTATCCAAAAATCACTGCAATACTATAAGCATACATTTGGAGAGGTTTTGACATTTATTTCCTTTCTAAACACAGTTTTATTCCTAACATTTCTTCCACTTTCCAGACTTGAAACATTTCTTTAGCACCATTCATAGAGTTTTCTGCACAGGACAAGACAAAAGCTTTAAA